ATCAGTTCTAAGGAGTTCAAGGGTTAAAAGTGTGATAAAAACCCTTATAGTTTGGCAAACTTGGGTTGTAGAGTTTTAATTGCGCATCACAATATGACCCCTGGATGCATGCCTTAAGTGTGACAAGAATACAAAATGGAACATTTGCTCATTCCATTCTTTTCATGGGGAAATTTCACATTCTTGTCTCTTATATCACTTCGTCTTTCATAACCAGTTGAGAGAACGCTTCACTCAAGGTACCAGGAGGCTTTTGAATATCAAATTTCAACATTTCTAGTGAAAGGTACCTTGACTCTGTTCCTTCCTACAAATTCCCTGTCCATTCGTCGACGAGCTTGGATGGCACTGCTGAGTTCAACAAACTGAATAAATGCATATGGATTGTTTCCTGTCTGTTTCTTGATATCAACATCCTACAATGAAGGAGGCTTCATTAGTCCTTACTGAACCATCTTTATGTTAAAAAGGAATTTTTTATTTCTTCATCCAATTCAGTTCTTGACTGAAAATTGCAAGGATTGCTTGAATGCATCTATGTTGCCTTTTAGTTACAAATTTAATTTCTTGGAGAATTTTAACAGTCAACCCAGCATCATTTTGTTGGCAAAACTTTCACCTCACTCAAAGCTCTTGTTAGAAGTAATCTTTCCCTTTTTGCAAAGATTACTTCTAACTTCAAAATTTGCAAAAACTGCCACATTCAGCGTTTGGAAACAAATAGGCCTGAAGTTGTTCATTTGAATTGATTTGCAGCTGCCCTCATTGTCTACAACTTTCACCAAGCAGTTTTTGTGGGAGCATTGCATGTGGGATACATCTATTTGGATCCATTCTTCCAGGCATATGAACCTCTTCAGTCTCCTGAAATGTCACCTTGAAGTAAATGTCCTCTCCCCCCCCCCCCCACACAATTAAATGAGTACACTTACCACAATTTCACCATATCTCTCAAATGCTTCCTTGAGGTCGGCATATGTTGTCGACTTCTCAATGTTCCCAACAAACAGAGTACGAGTACAACCGGGATCAAAATCCTCATCCATCAAGGAACTGGCATGTGGGCGATGGCGAGAGTGGTCACTGCTCTCATATCGATCATCTGCGAAAAAGAAATGTATTACAATCAAACTATTCTATTCCTCTTCTAAGAATATGACTGAGAAAAAAAAAAAATAAACACGTTGCAAGTCCAGAGGAATCACATAACTCCAATCTTCTAAATTGAAAGATGATGTTATTCAGGCAATGACAGGCATAAGTGAAAAGAACAACTAACGAGTGCTCCCAATAAGAATCAAACCTACAACATTCTGATATGTAGTTTGGGCCTTAACAACTGAGCTATAGAGACTTTATGGTAAGCTAGGCCATTCTTCTCCTAAGCAGAATGCATGACACACAACACATTAACTATGGTTGATTCTATAAAATATCTGATCCTAAAACTAACTTTGCCAATACTGAAGATCCATCTCAGAACCAAGGAACATTTTGCCACGGCAAATTTCAAGACTTCTCTCAGCATCTTCAGGTCTAACAACAATCAAAACAACATTTCTGTGAGTAAACCCAGCATGATTCTTCCCTTGATGTTACAACAGTTATTTCTATCTGCACTGTGTGCCAAAAAGAAAAGTATTATGGCAGCTGTGGGATTCCGAGTGAGTCTACAATATCAGACCAGAGAAAGAAAGACATGAAAAAGGCACCCTTCTTGTGATTCCACACATTAAACTCCTTGGTTGAACAAGCTCTTTTTTAACCCTTTAACTCCCATGAGTGACCAAGACAGAATTTCTCCTTACAATAGCAATACAATATCAAGCAGACAAGTGATGAGAATAAAGAAAAAGATCAATCAGGGGACTAGCAGTTGATCCAATACCACATTCTCTAAACTAACATCAGAATTTTATGGCAGACATAAGAATTATTAAAGAAATCTTGGGAGTGAAGGGGTGAAAACTCTACAATTTGCTAGTAAGCCTGGTCTCCTCAACTAAAACCATGATAGCTTCAGAAGTTTATTAAAAAAGAGAAGTTCATGCAGTGAGTATGTTATTCACCTTCTGAATTGTACAATAGCATATCTGCTGGTTCCCTGCCCATTTACAGAAATACGTGTCACATCCCCATGCTTTTTAAACTCATGGTAAAGACCATCGCGGACACCACTATCTACAAAATGAAACAGGAAAGATTAGTTTCATATGATCAACATAATCTTTAAAATGCTATAATACTTGACAACTGTTCACCAAACTGGAGAAGAAAAATAGTGGATATTTACTTAGCTGCAAAACAGGACCAATTACAGAGCAAGGTTTAGTTAAACTAAAGTACTCACAGATTATTTTCAACAGTTAATTGAAAATTGCTCTAATAAAGTATAGATATCAAAAGTGTAGTTGATGCAATTTACTTCATACTACAACTTGACTAAACAAAAATTACATACAATTAGTTTTTCCTCTGAAACTATTTATTACTTAATACCTACCTCCTGATCTCAATGAAATATTCCTCAAACAAAGTGATGATGTTCTGGTTGTACTCTGTGGCACCTCTCCAGGAGGTGGTGCATTCCCATGAGCACTTCCAGCTCTGCTATCTTCCTCGCTACTGCTGCTGCCACTTGAACTGGCAGACTGACTCCCACTGTGGCTGCTCTCACTTCCACTTTCACTACCACTGGTGTGATCTGGACTGGGCTCTTGATCACGATATGCTTCTAAACAAAGAATGATGACAGATGTTGTCTTGTTAATACTGGCTCACACTTGAGTTTTTTTTTAGGCATAGACACAACTTTCTCAAAAACTCTCAAAGTTCATTGTCAACTGTTCACAGACCACAAAAGAGTCTTCTTGCCACTGCTAAACAACAAGATGATTTTCTGCCAGTACCGGAGTCTATTGTACCAACTAACTGACCACAATATGATAACAGATTACTTGCAAAACTACAGACATTTGAATTTTAATAAGGTAGCAATTTGCATGTCACAGGATGCAAGTTATATCATGTACACAATCAAGAGACATGCTCGCTATTCCATGATATGCATTCATTAACTCACCAGGTAACTTGTGGGTATTTCGACGGGGTTCATGACTATAAGGTTGACGTCGATGATCTCCACTACTGCGAGGTCTTGACCGGCTTGTAGTGCCTCCTCCTTTGGCAGATACCCTAGAGGATCCAGTTTCATCTTCACTATAATCTTCTTGGTAAAAGGCTTGTGATCGACCATTATAACGCCCATCAGGTCCACTGCTGTGAAAAATAAACCTAAATTAACTTTCTTCATTATTTCAATAATAGCATTAGTTTAAAAAATAACTATTTGTGATTACAATGTATTTCTTTTTCAAAATTTCCTCCATTATCTTTCATCCACCTTCTTTTCAAGTTGTGTGAGAAAAGCATCATATTTTAAAACCTTATGTGGTCAGTGTAAAAAATTACTCATTCCCAAAGGTGTTTAAGACAACAATGTTCTTTAAAAGTAATGAACAGGTAAACCAGGTGTAAATTCGAGTGAATAAAATACTAACCTGACCGAATATAACCCTAACTGGGCTTCTTGCCCAAGAACACCAAACTTCACAAGAACTCTTCATTGTATATTTTTTTTACATTAAGGTCATCCCCACTGATTTCCATTGGCTTCAATGAGATAACACTTACAACCCATGAAGACCATAAAACTTTTAAGCCACAAAACACTCCCTACACTCCACATAATGACTGAGGGAATTTGAGACAATCAAAAGGTTGAATGGTTCTCTACAAAGATTTATTTCAATAGACTTTCACAAGTTCACTTGATCTGATCCAAACAGAATATAGAAGATGGTGAAAATGCTCAAAGACAACAATGTTACACTGAGACAAGATCAAATACGAGATGCAACAAGTCAGGTTGACCAAAGATGAAATCTTGGAATTTCAAAGCCAGAAACACTTGATGGATTCAATACCACTTTTCATGGGAAAACTTCACCACACCTTTCATTAATGATGAACTTTATTCCATTGATAACCACACATCCACGGAAGCTGTTTATTCAAGTTGCTTGCAAACAATCCTATATTCCTCAATGTCCTTTCTTGTCCACGCATGTCTAGAACCTCTCCAAAAACATCTGTTATCCAGACTTTGCATAAACCATTGTCTAAATCTTGAACTTCCACTGATGTTGTCAACATCATGCTTTCTAAACTAAATGCCAAATTCTCTCTCTCAAATGGAACTGCTTTAAATCTTGGTAAGGCAAGTCAAAACTCCAAGTTATTGTTAGGACAAACAAAAACAACAAGTCATTCCTGATCGAACAAACAAGGTCAGTAATTTGGGAATTTTGTTGAAGTACAGACAAAGTTTATGTTAGTAAGAGATGTGAACACTTCAAAAGATGAATAGTTGAAACAATGTTAGAACAGGGTATGACCAACGTTACTTGAAAGATCATGTCGAAAAATATCTAAAAAAGCTCTGAAAGACATTCACAAAACCGCATGCTTCAGGAAAGATCACCATACTCCAAAACCATAGTTCCACCTGAAATGTTTAAACACCACAAACATCAGTATTTGGTGACACCATCTGTAGTAAACTCAAGGAAAGACATCTCTAAACCCACAACTTGTGATCCTTAAAAAGCCTTGACAAGTGGAATAGGTAATCTTCCTGCATCTATGAACTGGAACTTGACACCACACAAGATAAAAGCCACACAAATCAACTTGGTAAATTCATTCACAAACTTGAAATTGAAGCCATGAGTTTGATGTACTTAGGAAGTCACAAATAATCTTGATCCAAAATACTAAGAACTGTCTTCTCTTCACGGGAGATCCCCTCCTTAACCATACAATCTTGACACTTTTCACTTGTTCCTTGTCAGTCACCCAAGACTATCTTCTTTGATGGGCATTAGTGTAGCTGTTGTACAAGTAACATTTCTCCTCAAATGTTGTTAATCCAATATCATCAATAATCAAAGACGTCGCAAATCATTTGTCCAGTTTCATACCCTTAGACCCATTTTAGTTGACATCTTGACCAGGTACCATTTCATCCAGGGCTGTACTCCTTTCAACCATACTTTCTTTTCCAAAAAGTTCCACTTCATTTTACATGAGTTGCAGTGCACTCCTTGTTTTACAGAGGGAGAACGCCAAAAGAGATGAGACTACAAGATCTTGTTCAGGAATTATTTGTATTCTGTGTACCACAATTTCCCAGTATGAAGTCAAGTAAGGAAGTTGCAAGGATGTTAATTTTTTCAACAAAACTGTCTTCATAATTTCAAGAAACCATACCATATGCCACACAATACATCTTGTCCCAAATACTTACAGTATTTTCTTCTAAACTTCACCGCATTTGAAGATAACGTTTAATTATCCACAAGAGGCCGTCACCACTAAAAAGCCCTTACACATATGAAATATCTCATGAACCTTTTCACTTACCCCTCCGGTCTTCTTTCAAATCGTCGTCTTTGTGCGGGCGATCCTGGGGCTGTGTTACTCGTAGGTCTCGAGGGAGGGTCCGTATGCCCGTGCAGCCGGGAGATATTACCCGCATTGCCCGGCTCGTTGTAATCTGTTCGCATTTCGCGGTCACCGATTCGATTCACAGATTCGTGAGCTTTGGTAGCGCTCCGAATATCCACGAAATCTACAAAAGCAGCTCTTCCTCCTTCTGCGCTACGTTTAGGCAAGATTTTGACACTTTCCACTCGGCCATATCTACGAGATAACAAGAGGCGAATAAACAATTTAACCGGCACATGAAAAAAGCGAAACCAACATTTGGTGACGTGGAACACGAAACTTCCGGGAAGCCAAAAACGGGGCGGGTGTTAAAGAAATCGAAAATCACTTTTCTCTATTCGAAGTAAATTTATACTTTCCACAGTTTTGTATCTACAGTTCTTCTTTTAAATTCTTAATTCTAACGTCTCAATGCGGGCATATTGATTTATTTTGCAATTCAACGCGAACAACTCTGAATAAGGCGGGACCAAAACAAGTAATTTTAACAACCGTTCTAACAACACCAGGAACTTTCTATCACCAGATGGCGAGCAAGTCGTATGGGTGAAGATGGACTTCCAAACAATAATAAAAAACATCTTTATCTGTGTCTAAATCAATCTTAAAATAAAGTGGAGAAGATTAAAAGACAATTTAAAGATCAACCGTGCTAAAACGTAGATAATCTTGTAGCGTTACTACAACTTTTTCACATTACCATAACACACAAACATATAAGCCGAGCTATAGCTGAAGAGCCAAAAATTAAACCGAGCGTATTGATTCACGATACGGAAAAATAATCCTCAAACGATAAAATCAAGTTAAAGAGCGGCATTAACACGGCCAAGGTGCGAATTTTAAAGCAAACACAAGTGAGATAAACACATCCGCGCCAAAAATCGACGCTAAGAGTCTTACCGAGTAAAGTGCTTGACAATTTCTTCTTCTCTGATGTTTTCCGGAAGGTTTCCAACCCACAAGTGGCGGGTTTCCCGTACCATCTTGTTAATTAATATTTCCTACCACCTTTCAAAGGCTATTCGATCATTCTTGCGCAGAAAATAGTCATTTAAAAACACATTTTAGTTAGACTTTCGAAATTCGGGGAAAGAAGTTTGGTTGCATTTCTACTTGCAAAGGCTTGTGGGAGAAGCTACAATGGCACTATATAAAATCATCTCTGATTGGTTTATGTTTTATCTACTGTTCTTTTGACCAATGGTATCCTTTGTTTTATTTGTAACGTAACGAAGAGTGCTTATTAGTCTCCACACGCACCAGTCGGAGATTATTCCACTTTGCACAGTCCGTGAATCTTCGTATATATTCCTTCCAGTGAACGGTAAGTTGGTTTCTCCTTCTATATACCTATATGCGTTTTTATTTGCAAGCGTTTATGCCTTTTTATGAAAAATGTTCAAGGTAGTTCAGAGTTTTCTTCATTTGCCTGGATGGATTATTCCATCAACATCCCAGAGTTCCCCCGGAGAACAAACTATTTCTTCGATCAAAAAATAAATCCTTTTGTAAATAGAAACGCGAGTTTTGTTTTGTGATTTAAATTCTTAACTTGCCGCTCAAATCTTCGTTTATTAAGCGTTCTATTTCCTCTTACACCTCAAAACAGACATCACCTGATTCACTGCACGTCTGCATTCCAAAACTCTTCATTTGCAGCTTTTCCGAGTTGCTCTTATTTGTTCATTATTTAAACAACGCTGACGTCTGATCAGGAGGCTTTGAATACAGTCTGTTCATTTTCCTTTGCAAATTTAAATTTATTAGTTTGCCACTCCAAGAAACTTTGGGATCTTGCGGAAAAACCAGGATGATGTAACCAGCATCAGCAAGTTACTAAGCCATCCAAAAAAAAAAAGGAAAAATAAAATGCAGAATCACTGTGTTTAATTGTGCAGAAATTATTTTCCTCTTATTTTAAAATTTTAAAAATTGTAACTTTTGAATTGCAAAGTCCCCTTGGATATTTAGACTAGGTAATTTTATTTAAGTCAGTGAAACATGTGTTATGTATTTGAGAAGGGATATCTACTGGGTTATAAATTTGTATCATTTAGTCAACATCCAGCAATCCATCAAAGCGTTGTTTCCTTTCCATTTCTTGCATCAGTTTTTTCAAGTGGGAGGGAAAATTTTGCAGTAATATCAAGATAATTTTCTTTTTGGATTTAGAGTTTGAATCCAGGTGTTTGTTTTGCGGAATGGAATGATTTTCTTAACGTCCTCCCAGACCTTGGTGGGAAGAGTTGTCTTATCCTCTTGTCAGCTTTATGCTTTGAGACGTTGTTTATCCACATCCCCTGCCCTGGCTGGAGAAGGTGACTTCCTTTCACCCTTTAAGAAATTCTCCTCTCTCTGCTTTTACATAATGTTAACCCTTCAATGCCTAAGAGTGACCAACATGTAATTTCTCCTTACAATATCCTCCCTGAATCACTCATTGAGGTCATGAGAATAAGGAAAATGATCACTAACTGTAGAAACTCTTGATTGTTAAACAAATTCTCCTTGTTAGCACCTTAGGAAATGTATAGAGAACAGTATGGAGAATATGCATAGTGAGGCTAGGTTGTTAAGGGTTAATCTCTATTTTTTTTTTCCTGTTTCCTACTTATTATTTTTTTAATCAATGATGAGGAAAAGTTTTAAAAGGTTTTTTTTTTAATAGCAAATGATGTAGTGACATATTTTAAGATCTAACAGGAAACTTATCGTGAATTGTCTTTTTGAAGGAAAAATGTCTGGTGTTAGCAAGATTTTTGCTCGTGAAATATTTGACAGCCGTGGGAACCCCAGTGTTGAGGTTGATATCACAACATCCAAAGGTGAATAATTATTGGGCAGTATTCATTTTTAAGTTTTAGATATGAATTACTTTTAACATAGTTCTCTTTCTTCCCTGGAGGAGGAAGAAGGGTCGTGCAGATTTTTCAATGGCAAAGGAGGTTAAAGCTCTGATAAGCTGGCTAATCACTCTCTTCCTCATCTGCATGTAATTGTCTTCAAATTTGTTTCAAGTGGTTTTTTCTTTAAAGAAAAACAAAGTAAATTTGGCAAGACCTCAAAGTACAATGTCAATAGCAAAGAAATTAAAAAAATTTCCACGGAAAATGCGAACCCCTTCAGAAATAGGGGGGGCTCCTCAGGCCTTCAAAATCTTCTACCTGCTATTCCAAAGTACCCAGTTATGTCAAATTGATGTTAATTTGCCATGGTCATGCTATTCAGATTACATCCTAACACCATTTTTATCACCTTGAACTTCACTGGTGGTAACATTCTGCATGTGTTTTTTCTTTTGAGATGTTAATTACCAATAAAAAAAAAAAAATCAGGTAGCTTGGATGACAGAATTCTCTAGTTGCTTATCTTAATTCTCTGACTAACTTTAATTTGTCACTTAATGTTTACCTACTCTTCTGCAACTGCATTTCTCATTGAAAAACCCTGATTTTTTAACAAATGAACATACAGACTTCTTGTGTTATCTTCTTGCTAAAAACAGTTAAACATGAAGGGGCGCTATATAAGGAAATCTTCCCTGGGAAGACCTAGGCTCATTTGTCCCTCACCGTTGAGGTGTGTGGGTCAAATTTAAATGCTGGTAGATGAACAAAAGGAGCTAATGAGATATCTATTGTTTACTTCCACCAGCATGGTGGCAATGAGGTAACGTGTGAATCACCTACTTCGAACTCAAATTTACTGCCACAAATAAAGACAGTTTCCTTTGCAGAAAGGAAATACAAATCTAAAAAATTCTTGTATTGTGATGAAGACATATAACAATTTTGAGGAATGCGCCCACTGTTCACTGCTTTGGAGTAGCTGTAGCTCAAGCTGACTTGACTCTTAAGAGTTCTACATCACACAACGGTTGATTGACAAATGGTCCAGTGGGACCTAAGGCTCCTTTTATAGTGCGCCTTCGTGTTTAAATATTCAGGAGGTCTGGGCCAGAGCCTTGGCTTGGTTCATTTTGGTGTGTTGTTATACCTCCACAAACTTCCTTTTCAGGATTCCTTTTTCACCCAGATGTATCTGTTGTGGTTCAATTTTATCCTTGGTTTAAATTTTATTTTCTGTTGTTTTTGGTTATGGTAATGTATGATAATAGGGTTGAAACGATGGAAAATAAAATTTAAACCAAGGATCAAATTGAACGACAACATATCCATGGATGTGTATTGTTGTGTCTGCTAACTAGAAAAAGTATGTAACTCAAAGGAATGCTGGCTGAGAAACTAATTCAAAGAGAAGCACAGAACAAGTCAATTTGCTCACTTTGTGATACAAAAGCAAGAAAAATCTCTCAATTATTATATCTTGTAGTACACAAAAGATACCAGCAAGCTGCTGGGGAAATCTGTAAATTTTCAGGTTGAAGTGCTTGCAATATGCTGATATCCCATTGCAGATTAGCAAAACACCTATATATTCACTCTATAATACAGATGTTGTGACCAGCTCAAGCTGTAATGAGCCTGTTGGTTTGTGAGATTTACCTCATTTTACAAAATATGCAATCTTTTTTGTTGCAGGGCAGTTTCGTGCCGCTGTTCCATCAGGTGCATCTACTGGAATTTATGAAGCTTTAGAGCTCCGCGACAAGGATCCAAAAAGATTTCTTGGAAAGGGTAAATTAACATTTGATGATATGAATGGTACAATTACAATACCACTATTTATATATTTTTACTGGAATTACTGTCATCAAAACATAAATTTGGTTATAGAAATTTCACTTCTAATTTTTAATCAATATTAATGATAATATTAGAAGTTGTTGTTCAGGCAAGGATGCCATACTAATCTAATTAATTTAATCTAATATTGATAATTAATATGATGCCTGGGAAACTATTTTTAATTGATTATTAGGGTATATGATCATGAATTTGATTAGGATGAATTGATTATAATGATTATTATGCTTTCTCTCAAATTCTTAGAACTATTTTTATCAGGAGTTGTTTCTGGATAGTCTTAAAAAAAATTGTTTCTTATTTTTGGTAGGTGTTCTTAAAGCTGTCGAGAATGTCAATAATATCATTGGGCCAGCACTTATTGCAAAGGTAAGTTCATAATAATTATAGCTAGATTTTTTTGTTTTTTTTGTTTTTATTTTGTCACAATTTGGTACCAAAGTTTCTCATTGTTTTGAAATTACTGGCATGAATAATCAGAATGTGGATGTGACAAAACAAGAAGATGTGGACAAGGTAATGCTTGAGCTGGATGGAACTCCCAACAAATGTAAGTATTGTTAATTTGTGATATTTGTATTGTTGTGAGTAATATTGAATTGAATAGCCATCTTTGTGAGTAAAAGGGGTAAGTTTCTAAAGAAATTGTGCATTGATGGAAGTAACAAGGTAATTTTGGTTTTAGCAACTGAGTTGGTAGTGTAAATTGGGCACTGTAAAGAGTTTCAAAGCTGACGTTTCGAGCGTTAGCCCTTTGTTAGAGCAAAGGGCTCTGAGGAAGGGCTAATGCTTGAAATGTCAGCTTTGAAACTCTTAATGGAGGCCAAATTATGTTATCAACTCAGTTGATAAAACCAAAAAATCTTTGTGAGTGGTTTGTTTTTTATGATGCCTTCATTCTTATTCTACAAACCATATTGTCATTGGTAATGAATTAAATTTCATTTGACCCGCTGAGTGAGGATGTATACATTTTGAAGGGATGTTCTTTCACATGGAGGAATCTGGTTATAATTTCATTACTTGACCAACCATATTGACTCGTAATGTTTATTGGTTACAGCCAAACTTGGTGCGAATGCAATCCTGGGAGTCTCACTGGCAATTTGCAAAGCAGGAGCAGCACACAAGGTTGGTAAAGAGCAATTGGCACTTTTGAGTATTTTTTTATGATGTTCTATTGACAGGTAAAAGCCTAAGTTAAGGCATGTGAGATCATTCTCAAAGTGTGTCAATAATCTTGTGGTTAATATATAATTATGTCTATTTTCACTTACCGGTAAATTAGGATAAAAAGTTATTAATTGTGTTTTCCTTTTGCTTGCTTAGTGATGCAAAGAAGAGAAATCTTGGTTAAAATTGAGTGAAATGGAAGTCACCAGCAATGTTTTTAATCAAAGTTAATGGAAAATTGATTAAATTGTCAGATAAACATTTAAACAGAAATGAAGATGTTGTTCTCTTGTTGGCAGCAAGTCTGAAAACTGCTTTTAAGATTTCTGGTCACCTTGTTTTGCATGTGGCTTCTCCATGGTCATTCTGAGTTTGTAAGTTTCTTTAGTTATGTAGTTCCTGTCATCACGGCAGTATACCTGGTGAATACCTCCCTTCTCTTATAGATTTGCTTAGCCCTTCCCCTCCCTGACAATTTAAGTTACCAAAACTGAAGCTTGTCAATTGGTACTGAGTTAAACCAAATGCTTTCCTTGTTTCAGGGGGTACCCCTGTATAAGCATATTGCAGACCTGGCAGGCAACAAGGAGGTGATTCTTCCTGTACCAGCATTTAATGTTATCAATGGAGGAAGTCACGCTGGGAATAAACTTGCCATGCAGGAATTTATGCTCTTACCAACAGGTGAAACACTCTACTTTTACAGTGCCTCTCTCCTTACAGGAGAATGAAATGGTAGAATCAAAATGCAAGGGAAACTTTTTGAATCCTTGGAGTTTACTCATTTTGTGGAATTCAAGGTGATAGAAATTCTCCTGGAAGCTAATTTCTGCCATTTTCCTCTTCATCCTGTAGAACAATAAAAAGGATAACAAATTGATAAAAAAATATTTTAAACATTTCTTTTTCTTGTTTGTTGAGTTGCAGCTCACTCTACTTTTTCAAGTTGTTTCTCAGATCAGAATTTTGTTCAATCTCAGAACCATATGGTTCAAATGGGACTGACACAACAACACAGCCCATCCAAAAAAAAAAAAAACCAAAAAAAAAATCTCCATCCCCTGCTTACTCTCCCGAGTGAAGCTTTTTTATGGACTGAAGGAGGGTTTTTTTTTGTTGTTGTTGCATTTTAAATTGAAATTTTTTTTCTGTGTGAAATTATTTTGACCTACAAAAGATTATTTTGCAAGAATAAAAACCAGCAAATTATTGATCGCTACATGGTAGACTTAACTCAAGTCTAAGCAAGGGTAAGTGCTGGCAGCTCATAATTTGTTTCAGTTCAGTAAAACTTATGACTTATAAATGGTGTTTTTAGGGGCCAGTAATTTTAAGGAGGCAATGAGAATGGGTGCAGAAATCTATCAGAACCTGAAAAGTGTTGTAAAGAAAAGATATGGAATTGAGGGTAAGTAAGAAGAGCTCTTACTATGCTCTATATGCTGCCTGTTCAGCTAGGGTTTGAAGAGCACCAGACTGCTGCATGGAAGGGTGAGTATTGAAACCCTAGACTGGACCAACACTCGGAGTCTTGAAATTCCTGAGGAGAATGTGTTGCCTTTGCATTTTAGACATCTGCAAATGGTTAGACCTACCAGTAATCTTCTCAGACAATAATACTAAACAGGAGGCCGTTTCTCTTGCATCCTCTCTGTACTGGTTAGTAGGGGCCAGATGTGAAAGAACCCATGTACTCCCCACAAAGAGTAGAGAACAAAGCTCCCAGTTTTGTGGTTCGGTCTTGTTTCCAAAATTGGGGGCACTTGTAAAAGGGGAGATGTTACCAGTTTCAAGTTTGCCTAGTTATTAACAATAATCAGCCAACAACTGAAGATTGATGACACACTTCCACTTTTTTTCCTCGCAGCTGTTAATGTTGGTGATGAAGGAGGCTTAGCTCCAAACATTCAGGATAACAGAGAAGGTGAGAAATGTGTCTCTTCTTCCCCTTTCTGAAAAACAAAGCCACAAGTTTTAGTCCAAGATGCTTTGTACTTTTCAGTTAGGAGTAATACTCACTAGCCAGGGTAACCAAACATTTGACAAATGGTAAACACCACAGCGTACACTATTGAGTTATGGATGCATGAGGGAGGTTGGTAAGCATGAAAGAAGCCTAAGAATCACGCGAGGCGATAGCCGAGAGGGACTCTAGTTTCTTGAGTGCATAGCAAACCTCCCAAGTGTATCCATAACTCAGTAGTGTACACTGTGGCGTTTACCATTTGTTTTATAACATAGCATTGTTACATTGTAGCAAGAGTTTTCTTTTATTTAACAAATCTTATGTGACCAAATAAACAAGCACGCATGGAAAAACTAGTCTTTGCATTTGTTCACGTCAGCAGTGTACACCCATGGGCAAATGGTGGACACTGAATTGACCAATCAGAGCATGTGCTTTACTTTGGTTATGTTATAATAACCCTTTACAACCTAACATCGGCATGCATATTCTCCATACTGTTCTTCATACATTTCCTTAGGTGCTGACAAGGAGAATTTGTTTAACAATCAAGAGCTCCTTTAGTGGATGATCATTTCCTTTATTCTCCTGACCTTAATGTGTGATTCAGGGGTGATATTGTACGGAGAAATTAGATGCTAGTCACTCTTACTGGGGTTAAAGGGTAAATCAGTTTGGTTTATTTGATATTCGTAGGTCTTGAGTTGCTCAATGTTGCCATTGCTCAAGCTGGTTACACTGGTAAGATCAAAATTGGCATGGATGTTGCTGCATCAGGTATGGTGTAAAGAAAAATACAAGTTGTTGAAATATGAAGTGATCTAGACTTGTAACAGCCAATTGTGTTGGATGTATGAAGGAACCCTTGCAATGCCCTGAGCCTCAAATGTTTTAACTGCTATGGTGTGTACAGGAAAAGGATATTAGGCCTGTGTTTGGTGGCTACTGGCAAGCTTTAGTATTCTTATTACTTGGTTTTTGTGGTCTCGTGTTTAGTGAGATAAACATCTACCCACAGTAGTGTTAAATCCAGGACCATTGTCTGTTTTAAAGATAATAATATACATAATTTTATTATGCGCTTCTGATCATTGGCTGAAAACAAGTTTAGTGCATTATTGTGTAACTAAAGTGCAGTGTGCAATTTGGTTTGGTAAAGCACTTAAAAATTTTTCAAAGAATACAAATTGCACTCACTCTTGTGCAATTTTGTTGTCTTTGAGAAGTTTACTTGTGCTTATTATCGTTACATTATAGTATACAAATTCATCTTTTTATTGTGGCTGTTTGAGTATCAAGCCTTGAGCCTCTAAAACTAGTTACCAACCACTTTGCATATTTCTAAAAATCTTCTTTCTAACCCTAAAAGTGTTTCACAAGGAGTCCTATAGCAGAATGAGAATGACTCCCAATAATGCTCTTGCTAAAATTTTGTATGTGTCTGTTTAGTAATACCAGTAGGTCATGGATGATATCAAAATGTGGTTAGAACAGAAAAGTGGCACACAAGGCTCAGCTGAGTGCATCACCGATTATGTTCTCACCACATTTTGATGTCTTCTGGAATGGATAACTGTACAGACCCATGGCAGCATGGAATGTTTTTTGTTAAAATAATAAAAAATAGTGATGTCTTCTATGGGTCTGTCCTCCAACAGATCATAACAACCAATCAAAATGGATGTATCATCTAGCCTATCATGTATTAAACAAAGATATATGATATTTTCTTGTCTAGCTGTTGAAGTATAGTTTTCCCCTTCTTTTATAGAATTCTTTAAGGAAGGAAAATATGATTTGGACTTTAAGAACCCAAAGTCTGATCCCTCAAAATGGGTAGGTGTCAGTGCATAGACTGAGGAAATCTCTCACAACTATAATTATTATAGTAATTGCAGCTGGGAAAATTTCAGAATTGTCAACTTATTGATGAAGTAATAACAAGGCTCGGCAAAGAATATAACCAGATCACTATTAAAATGTATTCATTTGGTACCCTAAGATCAGTATGCATTATTCTCCTTTTGAACATTTCTTTGATACTGGGAAGGGGGAATTCATTCAGTGATCAAAGCTTATTAGGTTGCCAATCATTTCCTTTATTTACATCCTTACATCTGTAACCACATTCTGTACACTCTTCCTGTACATTTCCTTTAATATAGACTAGGAGAATTCATTTAATAACAATCAAAGCTTTTCAGGATGGTAATCATTTTCTTTTATTCTCATCATGATCTTGATGAATGATTCAGCCAGCTAACTGTAAGGAGAAATAAGACACTGGTCCCTATTAGGGAGTGGGATGGAGAGCAGGGATGGCGCAGTGGTAAGAGCACTTGCCACCCACCACTGTGGCCAAGGTTTGATTCCCTGACCTGGCATTATGTGGGTTGAGTTTGTTCTTGGTTCTTGTCCCTGCTAGGAGGGTTTTTCTCTGGTTTCTCCGGTTTTCCTCCCTCCGCAAAAGCCAACACTCCAAATTCCAGTTTGATCTGGAGTCAGGCGTTTTTAACATGTCGAGCCACACGCTTGGAAGATTGGGCAATCACTTCCTACATTTGAGAGGTTTTTCTCTGGGTACTCCGGTTTTCCCCTCTCCTCAAAAACTATCATCATTTGAATTTATTCAATTTAGAGTTTATTTCCATTTACACACGACCCCACAAGCTGTTCAGCTTTAAACACTATCATGTCTAAATAAAGGTGTTATTATTATTATTATTATTTTATTGACTTTAAATAAATTATTTTTAATTATATTTATTTCGGAGTGTCTCTTCATCTCGAGCATTATTTTGCTCTTTTACTTGCAGATAACTGGTGAACAGTTGGGCAGTATGTATGAAGATTTTATTGCCAACTATCCAGGTACACCTCATTGATACAACTGTTTTGTTTTGTTTTGTTTTGTTTTGTAACATCCAGTGGCAAAATTCAAATGGCCAGAGACTTCACTTCAACGTAAACTGAAAAAGAAAAACCTATACCATATGAAAGCACTGCAGCTCATAGGTGTCAAAGTTGTGGGCCATATTCTATGGGATCTCTGTTTCCTAGCATTGTCTAGCATCACAAACCTTAAATAATATTTTGTTGGTGATCAGTAATTGATTGATGAATTTCAAATAAAATGTGAGGCTCCCAAAAAATTCTACACCCCACCAAATTATGATTTCTAAAATACTCATATTTTGTTGGTGAGAAATCATTGCCACTATTTTATTACATCAAGGTGTGAATTTACTTGCCTCTTTCCCTTTTCCTCTTCAGTGGTGTCTATTGAAGATGCATTTGACCAGGACGACTGGGAGCATTGGAGTCAGTTGACAGGAAAAGTAGACATTCAAATTGTGGGGTAAGTTTTCTCCATTGACATGGTTTCTAAACACCTCTTTTACTGGTTCCTACAATAGAAAGTGGATTCTTTTGGAAAAATCAGTTACAAGGCAAATGGTTGACAGCTTGAAATATATTAGTTTGAGCCATTTTGTTCTAGACTTGGCCAGGTCACCCTAATTAAATTCTCATAAGCAATTATTAATTATGTAACTTCTCCCAACAATCTCCCTATGTCATCCAGCGATCAGGTGATGAAAATACTCAATACAAGTTATCTTGATCTAACACCAGTTGAAATTCTTGTAACTTATTTACAAAGAAATGTGTAACAGGTAGAGGGGAGAATTAATGATCAGATCTTTAGAGTTAGAGGGTTAAAAATTACGTGGCATTTGAAAGCTGGTTATGTGTTAATGAAGGATGGGTATAGGTCACACAAGTTTATAATTTTGGTTTTTACTTATTGGTATTTTGAAAAATAATATTTTTTTTTTTTGCAATCTAAATTAATTACCTTTTGTGTTTCTGAGAGTGAAATGTTTCATGTCATGTAAAATTGTACATTTTTTCTAATTTTACAGGGATGACTTGACAGTGACAAACCCAGAACGGTAAGTAAGCCTCAGTGATAAACAGCTCTGCAAGGGCAGTGTTCTTTATCATTTTGCAGTGATATTAATAAAAGCAGTTGCTTAAGTTTTTCAGAGGACACCAATTTCATTGATCAGTTTGTCTTCGATTGCCTTCAATGAATTAAGTTGGTTGCATGGTTGTTGTTGTAGTAAGTCAAAATACACTTCATCTGCTGTCCTGCTTCAAGTCTTTTTCCTTTGAGCACAGGCTTTGTGTAGCATTGACCCTTTAAACCTTAAAAATGACCAGCATCTAATTTTTCCTTACCATAACACTGCTGAATCATTAAGAAAAAAAAAATTACCTTTATCTATCGAGGCTGAAATACATTGTTACTGGTAGCCCAGTAGTTTACATAATGGCCCTCCCTAACTAAGTACTTGAAAATCCCCACTGGCAGGAGGCAGACCAGTGGGCTATTTATACAGCGCAGCCAAGGAGTTGAACCAGGGGCAACTGAGAACAAACCCAGTGAGTGGCAGGGTGGAGGACTTGAACCCCGGACACCGGATTACAAGTCCAGCATCCTAACCACTCGGCCATGCCGCCTCCATTATCATTCACTAAGATCCATGAGATTAAGGGAAATATAGCCAACCTAGAAAGCTTTTATTTGTTTAATGATCTCTCCCTGTTAGTACCAAAGGAAATGTATAGAGAACAGTATGGGGGAAGATGGATGTTGATGTTAGGGTGTAAAGAGTTTACTTTTCTGAACTGCTGGTCTTGAGAACAAAGACACAAGCCACAAGTTTAGGAGCCATCTTTGCCTGTCCATCTTATCTGCTACACTTGCACTTTTTATGAACTGCTGAAAAAATAAACTGTTCATCATCATATTTGATATTTTTTCCTTGACTGCAGTATCAAAATGGCTGTGGAAAAGAAAGCGTGTAACTGCCTTTTGCTGAAAGTGAACCAGATTGGTTCAGTCACAGAATCCATTGAGGCGTAAGTAGTTCTTTTTGTCCTTGTTGCAGTTGGGAGCGTTTATATTCATTGTTACATTTTGTTATGTGTTTGAGATGTGCAGGCCTAGTTAAAAATTTAAATAAAATAAATGCTTTTTTTCTGAGTAATTGTGGGGCTATTCAGCCTTGAGATGTCACTTGAACCTCTCATAAAAAAAAGTTGCCATTCAAACTGCTTAATTGAAAGACAAGCAGAATGGAAGGTTTTGTAACATGGCATAAAGTACCATTTTCATTTTTTTTTTTTGTTGAGTTGTCTTGTGGAGCCAAAATTTTATTTCTAGTGACCATTATGGCAATTTTCAATTGCCAAATGGTGCCTTTGAAAGAGGTTTAGCTTGAAACCCAACTACCTCTCAGCATCTAGTGGTATAAGTGGGAACAACCATGTTTTCAGGATAATCTAATGAAATGCTGTGAGTGTAACTGCCATGATCTGGTCTCCAGTACAGAAGGAGCATCAGTCTTAGTTGCTCCACGCCATGGAAATGGTGACTAGCCTAGCAGGAAGTGTAGACATCTTGGTTCATGTATAACAATTGGTGAGTTTATGTTCGTCACCAGGTGCAAGCTTGCTCAGAAAAACGGCTGGGGTGTTATGGTGAGTCACCGCAGTGGTGAGACAGAAGATACTTTCATTGCTGATTTGGTTGTGGGTCTGTGTGCAGGACAGGTGAGACATGGAGAGTATTCAACTCTTAAGATTTGTCAAGCATCCATGAAATTTTGACACAATTAAGGGCTGAAGTTTGCTACACAGGACTATTGTAACGTTACATCTCTGTAGTGTCACAGTTCAGGTACAGGACCGTCAATAGGTTTGAACAAAGAAGTCAAACGAGAACAAGGAGGCAGCCAGGTTATTGTGGACACCATGTTCCCTTATGAGATTACACTCAAGACTGAGAAATATTCTGTGAAACTGTTCCAAGCATTCCACAATTTTACATAACCTTGAAGAAAATTGAGATATCTAAATCTGTTACTCGAGTATGAATGGGTTGCTGCAAATAGTCTATTAAAAAGTTGCATGCTTGATTGCTAAACCTTAGAGCAGGAATGAGGCTAAGGGTGACCTTGTTTTGATACAAACCTTGCTTCTTTTCAAATGTAAATTACTTTGTTATCATGCTAACTAGATACTCTGACTTATTATTAACTTTTTTAGATCAAGACAGGTGCTCCATGCAGGTCTGAACGATTGGCCAAATACAACCAGCTTCTCAGGTAACAGACACATATATTTTTTCAGGGCAAGACATGACTAACAAATGCAAACAATACTTTGTTGCAGCATTTAAAGAATTGCATCAAGGAACTTTGACTATGGCTAGTTGTCAAGTTATACGACCGTTCACTTTGGACAATTTCTAAATGGGGTGGTTAC